CTCCTGGGATCAAGTTCTGCATCGGGCTCCTTGTGCAGCAGGGAGCCTGTTTCTCCCCCTGCTTGCTGCTCACACTGCTTGTGCTTGCTCTCTCTCTGGCAAATAAATAAATAAAATCTTTAAAAATAATTTTACGTTATTAATTTTAAAACTAGTCTTCTAAACAAATTACTGAAGAAGCATTACTCCAACAATATTTAGGTATAGAAGTTGATTCCTACTTATGTCATTATTTATCTTAGATACTTGAGGGGAGTTGAGAGGAAACCAAATTGGCAAATGATGAGAAAATGTAGAGTGCTAAATTTTGTTTTAAGTCTTCAATAAAAAGTGCTGTCCATCTTTTTACTGGTGTCTATCAATAGTAGGCAAAAGATCAGAAAAATAGTCTGACATCCGAACCTGAGCATGCTGCCTGAGAATGAAAACAATTACCTTTGGCACACATTTCTTCCCTCATTTATCTCCTCCACAAATACCCAACATTCAGCAGTTTCCTGGCCTTACTGCAGTTTCCATAGCACGGCCCCACTCTCCTCCACCCTTGTTAAAAGCTGTGATATATTGTTCCCAGTATCCTCTCCCTTAATCAAAAATTACTCTTCTCTGCCCAAGGTCCTTCTCGGTTCAATGTCACAAGAGAAAATGTGACTGTTTGATAAGAACGTAATTTATTACTGGGCGCCTGGGTGGCTCAGTTGGTTAAGCGACTGCCTTCGGCTCAGGTCATGATCCTGGAGTCCCGGGATCGAGTCCCGCATCGGGCTCCCTGCTCAGCAGGGAGTCTGCTTCTCCCTCGGACCCTCCACCCTCTCATGCTCTCTATCTCATTCTCTCTCTCTCAAATAAATAAATAAAATCTTAAAAAAAAGAACGTAATTTATTACTTCTCCAAGAATATTTCCATTTTAACAAAAAATAAAACTTAATCCAAATGTTTGGATAACTAATGGTGAGATTGAAGACACAGGGGCAAAACCAGGGAGAAGAATGATTTTCAGTACTTTGCAAACCATGTCTTGTATATTATTATTTATTTCTCTCAATTCCTACATTGTTGAAGAAATGCAAGGAAATGCAAGGAAAAAATTCCTTTTCTGGTGAAGTGCTCAATGTACAAAGAATTGACAAATCATAAACTGCTTCTGGAGAGTAAAAATAAACTGAGAGGAAGAGTGGATAAAGAAAACAGGATTGTTATTTATAAAATAGCAAAATATTAAAAATTATAGACTATATATTTTTTGCAATAGTACTTTCTTTCCCTTGTGGGTGGACTTGTGTTCAGAGAATGAAGAGAGATCATAGAAATATGAAGAGACTGAATTATATTGTATCTCTACAATATTTCTAGAAGAAAAACAAAGATCTAAAAGTTGTGGTGAAAGATACACTAATGTCTTTATAAATTTGCCTATATTTGATTCTACTTCTTTGATTTTTCACGTGTAGATTTTATGATATCAAAACATACTTGAGAGAGCAAAGTCATGTTGAAAGTCAGAAAGAACTTCCACAAAGGGGGAGGTGATAAAATACTTCTCAAAATATAGTATCTACATGACAAAATTCACCAAAATCAAAGATTTTCTACAAGGAATTATACTCCACATTAGAATACATTAAGTATGCATCGTAATGTGTATTGTTTTGCTTACAATAGATTTTGCTTATTATATTAGAAAACTTAGACTAAAAATAAAAGAGGAGGGAGCAGAAGAGAAAATTAGAATTGTTAATGGTTAGTCAACAAAATGGATGATTCATACATGAGTAATTAAGAATTAACTATGACCATATTTCACACATTGCACGTATTATCTCCTAACCGGGTATAATCTGGCTCTACACAACAGCAGAAGCAAAATCAACTTTAAATGGATAATGCTTTTTTCTTATGTTAAGAGGGTACATATACCAACAAAATGAAGAACAGGAAGTTTTGCAAACATTAGCAGAAAAATTAACACTTTCAATTAAGATAAGCATTTTCTGGTTATACTTTATATTATACAAGATTGGCCTATGAATTCTCAATCTTTTTCCTCTACATAATAATAATTGATTATATTATATGCTGATAATATAAAATAATTTTAAAAGCACTTGATTTAAACATAGGTGCTTTTCTTTCCGAACCATTTGCATATACATTTCTTATGATAAATGTGAAAAGCACACACATAGACATTCAGTTATTGTGAACGAAAAGAAAATCAACCTTGAAATATAGAATGTTATGCTCACAATGATATGGTAGGCATCTTCAATTTAGGTGATATATGTGCAAACTTAACTCATTTGTTGTTATATCCAGTAGGAGAATCAGTTTCCTAAAGCTTACCTCTTAATATCATATTTTATTTGTGAAAAGTAAATGTATTTCGCCTACATGGAACATAATTAAGAAATTCAGGGCTAGCAGGACTTTGTAATTTGTCATCACAATTTATAATTTTAGGAGACTCGCATGACCCTTCTGTCTCATTTCTGAATCTATTTGCAACAGAATACAATTGCATTCAAAATTTTGACTTTTACATAAGGTTTTATTCATATACTCAATACTATCTATAATTAAAAGCACAGGTTGTTCTTTTAATCTTAATTTAAGTCTATGATTGGAACAGTCAATATCTGTTATGTGCTTAGAAATGTGGAATTAAAGTTATTACATTTATCTATTGTCTGTATTGGATTTAGTCAATGCTATTTATCACTACTTGTTTATTTTGACACCTTGGCCCTTATAAGACAGAAACTCTGATAAAGTTTTATGACTTGCCTAATTCTCCTTATTTTTTCCCCATGTGAAATGTATTAAAAAGCATTGATTAATAAAATCATGTGTGAATATTAAGCACTAGTAGATTAATTAGGAAACAATGTCTAGAAATCTTTGGGGAAAATGTATATTGCAAACTTTTAGAATTTTGCTTGTTTTCAATTATGCCTCTTTTTTCACTTAAAAATATTATAACTGCTAAGACAAGTGTTTTAAAAAGCAATAACTTTTTTGGAGGGCCTGGGTGCCACAGTCAGTTAAGCATCTGACTCTTGGTTTCAGCTCAGGTCCTGATCTCAGGAGCATAAGATCAAGCCCCACATTAGGTTCTGTGCTCAGGGCAGAGTCGGCTTAAAACTTTCTCTCCCTCTCCCTCTGCTCCCCCACTTCAAATAAATAAATCTTAAAAACAAAATAAAAATGTAACTTTTTAAAAAAGTTTTCTTTTTTTTTATTAGAGACTCTGACTTTAATCACATTCCGTTTCTTTTTTTTAAACTTTTTATTGTTATGTTAATCACCATGTATTACATAATTTGTTTTGGTGTAGTGTTCCATGATTAAAGAGGGCACATTCTGCATGGAGCACTGGGTGTTATGAACAAACAAAAAAGTTTTCTTTTATACTAGAGCCATGGATTCATAGCTATACCACATTAGAGAAAAGGAAAGAAATCAAGAATATTATATAAAATGGGAGATGTGTAAATATTTACACAGATAACAGAAAACAAGTTGCAAAAATGTATAGTGGCTAACATTATAAGGAGGATAAAAATGAGAGAAATAATCAGATATGAATCTAAAAATATATAAAAATAAAGACCAAATACGTGGTTATTGTTTTGTTTATCGACTAATTAATTCTTCCATTTGCTCAAATTTACTGAGTAGTTAATATACAAAAATCATTTGACTTGGTACAATGTAGGTTAACAATAAAGGCATCAAAATAAATAAACTGAAGCCCTGCAATCTACGAATAATATACACATGTGGAAAGTTAAAAGGTGATGATATATTGACAATATATTTGCTTAAGAATTTATAAATAAACGGGCGCCTGGGTGGCTCAGTTGGTTAAGCTACTGCGTTCAGCTCAGGTCATGAACCTGGAGTCCCGGGATCGAGTCCCACATCAGGCTCCCTGCTCAGCAGGGAGTCTGCTTCCTCCTCTGACCCTCTTCCCTCTCATGCTCTCTATCTCTCATTCTCTCTCTCTCAAATACATAAATAAAATCTTTAAAAAAAAAAGAAGTTATAAATAAAGAAATGATTTTTGTTATTCACTCAAGCAAGGAGTGTTTCTAATAGGCACAAAACTAGGTGCTAAAAATATTAAAGCAGGACCTGCTCCTGCCACAGCCAACATATAGAGGATGTAATTAACTAAAGTATTAATTAAAATACACACATTCATACACACACGTTCGCATGAGAGCTTTTAACAAAGTGTGTGTGATTTACACCTTGTATGAAATGGTGGGGCATAAGTTATTCAATACCAACTTCATAAAGGATATAGACTTATATATGAATCAAGAGAATTCATCAATGCATCAGGGACAGGAATCATGGGAGTTAATCTATCAAGGACAAGAATGAGGAAGAACATGAATAAAGAATAGAAGCATGGGTTATATTGTGGAATTATACGGTGTATGAAGCAAAATATGTGTTTAATGAAATAATGCATTTCAGAAATGATAAATAATCTGTTGTACTTAGATTGATGTGTACCCAATTCAAACAATGCATATGTAAATTTAAATAGAATAATCTAAATAACTGGTTGAGAACACTTAGAAAAGACCTACCTTTCATTCAAAAACGCAGTTTCCATATGCCAAAGAGTTTTTTAGATGTTCATCTGTTAGACTCATAAAACTTTTTGCTCTTAGGGTTTGTAAGTAAATACACAATAGGAAGAATTACTATGATTTTTTTTCAAATTTTACTAGATTTCAATTATTCTAATCATGCTTCATAGATGAGTAGAACATTTTGATGAAAAGATTTAGAGAGCAAAAAATATTTAGAGAGCTAATAGCTTGATTCAGGGTAATTGTTTGACTTACTCTACTAAATATCATTAAGTATATAATATAAAAATAGATGATATTTTCTACATGTGAAATCCTCAAATATAATTTGTTTTGCATTCTTAATAGCACTACAACTAGAGCTGAATGCAAGTAATATAAATAATACATACCAAAAAAATGATAGCAGATACTGTGACTTGCCGGTTTCCAAATGCTAGAAAGCAAGAAAAGAAGATGTAATGCAAACATTCATAATTTGGATTGCCACACTATAAACATAATTGAAGCAATGTTTATTGGATATTACTATCCTCTAATCCAGAGTACAGTTGTGTATGTAATTGACTTTTTGGGATAGCACGTTTGCAATCTAAAGGGATGAAAAAATTTTTGCTTTCAACATATACTTATTTCTTGTCACTTAATTATATTTAGAATACAAAAGGAATCTATTTTTAATTTGTATTATTAAGTTCTTTGAAGGCAGATTTAATCTTTCATTTCTCACCTTGAAACACATGATGTGGCATAATATATGATGGCACCCAATGATAACTGTTGTTTTTTAACATTTAACAACAACAAAAAACATGCTAATAAAAACTTTTATTTTTTGCATTGATATTTTATAATAGGTAATATTTTAAATGTTTTTTTATTTTTCATCTAAAAACAAATATATGAGGCAAGCATTAATGTTCTTATCTTAAAGTAAATAAAAATTTAGGTTACATGTTCCCAAATTATATATATAAGGAATAAAATAGAATTTTAGACACTGTCTTAAAGATACCTTTCTCATGGTAAAGAAGGTGGAATATACAAAAGTCCTAAAAATAAAATTTTCTGATAAACTCATCATCTGTATTAACAGTGGCTTTTCTTTTTTTTTTACTTTTATGTGTATGTGCATATAAATTGTATTATATAAACACACTTACACAATTATAATGTCTCATTTTAAATCTTGCATATTTTATAAGAATATATTTAAAGGCATTTCTAATATTATTAAACGTCCATGTAAAAGCTATGATAATATCTGTATCATAATGTATAATGTGGCTAGCTCTAAAAACATTCAATATTATGCTGCATATTTAGTGCTACTTTAATTTTTTGTATGATAAATAATACTACCTCAAACATCTTTCTTTATGTCTTTTATGGAAGTTCCAGTTCTATGGTCTAGAAATTTTAAGGATAATTTAGTCAAAAGTTATATAAGTGTCTATGCATGGACATAAGTACATATACATATATATACACACACATATATATATATATATCCATAAAGCATATATATAAAATATGTAGAAGTATTGAATGTTTTGTTTTTATAAAGTACATATATCTAATTATGAAATAAAATACATTAATACATTAATGGAAAAATTTTGGAAAACAGATAAAAATGTAAAGGGAAATAAAATACATTAAAATCCCATTATCCATGGTAAATCAGTTAAAACTCAGATTTTTCCCTTGGAAATATACATATTTGTTATACACTTTTTACAGGATTTTATAAAACACTTTTATAATCACTTATTCCTTCATATTATATTTGCCATATAACTAAGCAACATTTGCCATATAATTAAACATTCTTCTCTAGCTAAATCAAAATATATTTTTTTTGTTTATGCTACTTCTAGACAAAACTTTATTCATTCAATAATAGCTATTAGGCATTTATAGGACAGGCACTATAATGTGTGCTTGTGATAAAATCAGTTATAAACTAAGCCCAAAGCAACTCTTAATAAAAATTACTGTCTAACAAGGAAACAAATAATAATCACAAGATAACAAAGGGAAGTGTGCAACCCTGATAAGTGTTACTAAGAAAGGTTTATATAGTATTTAATGTAAGAGCTAAAATGAAGGATTTAATCAGGGAGATCAGGGAGGACTCTCAGTACATGGTTGAACTCTGATTTAGAAAATGAATAGATATTAAATAGACAAGAGAGCGGTTCAGAACATTTCATGTAGCAGGACAGTGAAAATATACCTAGTTTTCATTTTTTAATAAGAATAAATAATGATATGATAAAAACAGGTACGGGGCAAAGAGTATAATTTTTAAATATTTTTAGTGTTTATTTCCAAAAAACAAAGCTACAGAGAGTGTAATTTGAAACAAACTTTCTATAAAAAATTTTAGTCATCATTAAAACTTTCTCTAATTTTTTTTAAAGATTTTATTTCTTTATGTGTCAGAAAGAGACAGAGAGAGAGCAGAAGCAGGGGGGAGGGGCAGAAGAAGAAGCAGACTCCCCGCTGAGCAAGGAGCCCAATGCAGCACTCAGTATCAGGACCCTGGGGTGAAGACCTGAACCGAAGGCAGAGGCTCAACTGATTGAGTCACCCAGGCATCCCAAACTTTCTGTTTTATTTTTATAATTTTTATAATATTTTACATTTGGCAAGAAAGAGAAAAACAGGTTGTTTTTCTTTTATTGCTGCTGATATTAACATTTATGTATTAAGTTTTCTGAACATATGCATGCCAGTTTGCAGTTAATGGAATATTCTTGCCATTGGGAAGTTTTCAATTATCATAATTTGTTTCCTATTTACTTTAAAATATTTTCAAGAAGTATGAAAAATGACTTCCTTAATGGTATATATGGTGAAAATACATAATAATAATATGTAGTATTTTATTCGTTAGCATGTATAAATAATATCTAGTATTTTATTCAAGTTAGTGTGTGTACAGATGTTATTAATTTTATGCAGTCAAATCTGTTGAGAATAGGACTAGACATGATATTTGTTCACTTTCCAGTTGGAATCAGTATTGTAATGTTATATATGTTTTCACAGAATTTAAGTCCTACTTACATCTTATGCATTTAGAGACTTGAGCACAGTAAAATTAGACTTTCAGGGCCTCATTTTCCTAATCATAATCGGGGATATTAGCACTTACATAATAATGTTTCTTATTACAAAAGAAACAGAAATTTTACAATTATTGACAAACATTAAGTTTTCAATAAATATTTTGCATATGTTAATAACAATCAGCTTCTATTATTTTGTATCAGATACATGAATTTAGCATTGTCAGAGGCTCCTCTTAAACACCTGTGGAGCAAAAATATCGGTCTATTAATACTCTAACATTAGTAGGTACATCTTTTGATAAAATATTTTTTAAAAATGTTTTATATAATATTAAGAAAATTTCCCCTTCAATATTCATTGTTAATTGTTAGTATTTAGAAGAATTAAAGTTTTGAACATTGCAATGATTTACTTTTAGCACACTCAACTAGATTTGCTGATCTTAGTAAAGATTTTGTTGTTGGTACTTCAAGCACAGATATTAAGATGGTTTAACTTATTTTATAAAATTTAAAATAAAGCTTGACTACTCCATTCATTTCCATTTCAAACTTCATAAACCCCAGAAATAGACCACAAAAAATAACTGTCAATTAAATGTGAAACCTCCACCCTTGTAGCACCCTTGTAGCTCTGTGTGTGCCTTGAGGGCTGCAGTAAAAGCTGAGAAGAGAAAAGTCCAAAGCAAATAAAGAAATGGAATTCTTTGATGAGGACAGCTATTTTTGTTCACTTTTATGAAATGAAGATTTAGGTCTGGTCCATTGTGTTTTCCACCAAACTGCTTCATCTGAGTCAATGGTCAGTACATATAATAAAGTTATAAACAGAAACCAGTATGTTACAGAAACAAATTGCTTCTATTTTTCTTATTGAATTGCATTTAATATAATAATTACATAATTATTGTGAATTTTTAAAATCCTGACAGCTGATTTTATATGATTGATTTTGTGACTATATGGAATTTTTCTTTTTAATCTTCATTCTTTCATTTCACTATCTGTCATTTTGGAGGTTTACAATCAACTCATATTTTTGCTAGAGTTCCTATGGAGAGAAAATAAATCAAAGTATGTCTTTCAAGTTTGTTTTTTTAAGTCTACCTAAAAATGTAATAGAGTATGATACGGAAGCTATTAAAAATGACATTTTTTCTCATTATTTACTTCTTTTTTAAAGTGTGCCAGGTTGTTCATCATTTCTGTGTAGTGTAGAAGAGAGTTTTGATGTTGGCAATTTAGTATGTGTTTATTTAGAAAGAAATCCTACATACATGGTGGTGTATACTGTGGGTGATTAATGTAGTAGGCAATCCAAGAAGTAAATCCCCAATAAAAGGCACAGCCCTACAAATAAAACATAATAAAAGTTAGTGAATATATACAAAATCTATGATATCATTTGAAATCATCCCATATACTTATATGCCACATTGCAGCTTTTTCTTTGTATGAAAAATGGTATGTTCTAAGCAAGATAAATGAAATGCCTCCTCACCCAATAAAGTAGCATTTTACAAGTACCTATTTGATATCACTAAGGAAAGGCATTACTTTGCTCAACCCTTATTAATATAAATGGGTACTTAGGTTATAAGGCAAATGTAGCAATATATTTTAGAAATATTTTTCAAGAGTAGTCTGTGACTATCAAGTAATAAATATAAATGAAATAATAAAATAATAAAAAATGTATTACATAAAATATACTAATATTCATTTTCCAACATAAGTGAATAAGATAATGAATTATTTAATCGTTGGTAAAACATATCCTGATAGATTGTAAAGGGAAACATCCTAATTCAAAAAGTCCTAGGCTATAATACTGATCTTGTATTGATATGATAAATTTTAATATCTTCTGCCAGAATTGAAGCTAGTCTAAATGATTTTGGAGGTTTCTAAGAGTTTTGGAGTTTATTGTTTTATTACAGTGACAATAGAAAGACTTGTTGAAATTTTTACAAAACAGATATTTGTCAAAAAAGACAGGAAATTTTTAATAAGGAAATATTTCCTATTGAAAGCGAACTTTAAATCAGAAATTAAAATAAATTGGAATTAAAATTGGAAAATTGAATTGCAGCATGTCATTCAATGTACATTTCCATTTCCTTTTCATAAAACTTCCCATTTTCTTGACAGCTATATGATGGGATGGTTATTAACTCCTGCATCACCACTTTTGGAAGAGGAAACACACTGTCATCACACTGACAACTTTCATAAATACAGGGTGTGTTTTCATCATTGTTATCACACAGATGTATTTTTACATGAGGGTTCATATATGACATCCTTCCTCCTCAAGCGGCACTTAAACAATCTGAATTCAATGCTAAGTATTTCCATAATTAAAGATACCAGAGAATACATGGCTTGTAACAAAAGGACATGGCAAATCTTTTATGTAGGGTTATTGGTTGAACACAGCTCCAGTGAAACAGGTCACTCAGGAAGTGGCATCTCAGGAGTGGATGCTTAAGATATGCTGGCACAGTTGAACAGAAAATTCTAAGCATGAGGAAAATAAACATGATTTTGTTTCATTTTATGGATGACCCAATACACAAAATTTCTCAATAATAATTAAAATTACAAAACATATCAATCCCCACCTTTATCAAATTTTTCAAAGGTGTATGTCCTGCAGAAACTTTATGAACAAATAAGGTTTCCAAAAGATATCGGATATAGTGTATGCAATGACAGAAGCAAGCCAAGCTAGAAAGAAAATAAAACATGAACATATTAAGTTCCCTTCTAAAGGTCTGACTTGCCTTTACACATAAGACATTTTTTGTTAGTTGACTACAATATTATATTGATTAGGAAATATTTCCAATAAAAAACACTAATGTTTATTTTAATATTTTTATTCTAGAAATTTTCTAAATTTATTTCACAATAATAGTACTGTCACAACAGTCTCTATAAATTTACTTTTGGCGACATTCAAAATACCTTAAAATACTAGTCACAATCTATATGTTCACCCCTACCCGAGGAATAAATATATAATAATTATAAATGTACTCATATCAAAAAGTCTCATGAATGAAGCAGAAAATATACAAGTTTTTTTTGTATACCTGACACACAATATTACATTAATTTCAAGTGTATAACATGGTGATTTAACAAGTTTTACATTATGCTATGCTCCCCACAGTTGTAACTGTCATCTATCATCATACTTATAAAACCATTGTTTCTTTCCTATTAATGTTGCCCATGAGAAGTACATATTTTATTTTATTTTACTTTATTTTATTTTATTTTATTTAGTTTTATATCTTGAGCTCTTTATATATGAATTCACAACTTTATAATTTTAAGCTTCTTGTGATATTTCTAAATTTCCAGATTTCTTTTACTGTGATCATTATGAACTTATATTACCTCAACTTTAAGGTATACTTAGTTCTTTGTATATAAATTTGCAAGTTGGTGTGCATACATTATTTAACGTTACTTAAGAAATAGTTTCTTAAATGTAATCCACTTTAATTTGGTTTATAAACAAACTTTAAAATTATACCTGTGTCCCAGTTTATCTCCTCTTCATCTATAGGTACTAAATATATTACTTACTGTACCACTGGGTGACAGAATCTTCTAGAACTCTCTTTCATATCATATATATATGGGATCCTCAAATAAAAGAGGAGATATATAATCAGAGGTCCTGTGTATTCAGCCAAAAACACCTGAAAATAAGAAGGTGATTTAAATCAAAAAATAAACTTTTGTAGATATTATTAAGATTTATATATAAAGATAAACACGTCTATAGACTTAGCTTACTGAATGAACTGGTAAAAGTGCATGTAGCATTATCTATTCTTTAAATTGAATTATACTGGGTGCTAATATAATTCACAAGAAGTCTTCCTTGCAAGAACTAGCCAAGACTTAAGGAAAGGACAATTATAAATGGTGACTTTAAAATAAAAAATAAATATTGAAGCTAATAATTTCTTCATAAATAGAACACAGGAGTTTTTATTAACTAACCAAAGTATTATAAACATATCTCTTTGTGTCTCCCCAGCCCCATACACATTCCATGTTTTTATGTGAACTGTTCCTTATAACTGAATGGAATTGGGCTACAGTGACTTTTTTTTTAAATTTACATGGCCAGGTCATCTTGAATTTGTTTGATTTGACACTGATTCAAATTGAAATAATCTAGTTTTCTCTTCTGGAAATTTTAGACTTTAATTCTAATGAGTTTGAGTAGGTAGTTAAAAGGATTGCCTTCTGAATTCTGGAGCTGAGAGTCAACCATATATATGGAGAGATATATCTGATCTACAGAGAGATCTACAGAGAGATAATCCTAAGATTTGGAAAGATAATTGGAAACAAGGCTGTTTGATTGTGTAAAGATTCACAGGCTGACTGGCCTTCTGATAGTTTTCTAAATATTATGATGGTCCATTATTTAGTTTTGTTTTGATACTAAAACCAGGTTAAAGTCACTCTGGAATTCATACAGAGAAAGGAAAATAATTTATCTCTGAGTGTTCAAAGAGAAAGAATACAGACATGACAATGATAAATTCAACTGCCATTACTGCTTTGCTTTGTCTTTGCCAATTTTCATCATTTTCTAAGAAAGAAAACTTAAAGCTGCACACGTTTTACTCAAATATGCAGGTGTGCACATTGATTAGAAATTATATTCTTATTTCTCATGAGAACTTTGTATAACTACATAGTTAGATTATATGATATATATATGCATGTTTTATATACATAATTATATCTGTGTGTATATGTACACACAAGTATAAACATTTATATATGTAGATTTCTTAAGGTATATTTTTTCCATTTAATAGTATTGATCATCCCATTAGCCATGAAAGACTTTTACATGACGGTAAATATGCAGCATCTGATAAAGTCAGGGGAAAGCAACTTTTTACTGATAGACTATATTAATTTATGGCATGCAACATGCCTGATTATTCACATGTAAAGAAAAAAGTGTTTACCACTTTGAATGTCTGATAATAGAGTTCAGTTAATACTCTAGAATAATTAGAGTAATTATTTTATTAAAACAAAATATTTAAATATTTAAATATTTAAAAATAATTAAAATATTTATTTCAATGCCATCTGATCTAGTCAAGTTAATTTTGAGCAAATCCTCTAGTAATATATCAGTAATGAAAAATGTTATGAACAATAGTTAACCGTGACCACCTGTCATTCTTTATTAAGTTAATAAAAATGCTATCACAAATATGATGTTTCTTTGGATCAGGAAATTAAACTACAGTCTTATCTCCATCATACCCTAAAAATAAATCAGGAGAACCTGCTGGCTTACAGTAATATGTTCAGAGAGGCCCAGTATTTTATCACAAATATTGTTCATGTTGAAATATGGGGGTTAAAACAATACTAAAGTATGAAGGCGATATCCTGACCTGAAAGCAGTAGAGAATAAGAAATAACTTTTGGACAATGCATCTTTCAAAAAAAAGTATATTTGGGTGCAAATAGAAAAAAAAGGGAGAGCAATGTTTTATTAAACTTAGAAAGTAATCTGAAAATAGTTTTAGAATAAATAAAAACAATGACCAGATAGACAAATATTAATAAGACACACTTCTGAAAAAGGAATTTTTCTTCTCCTACTAAAAAGAAACAAATCCAAAACCAAAGCCAAATAAACAAATACGCCAGTTATAAGCCCTAACAAATCAGATAAATTTACAAAGACAAGAAGTCTGTTATAAACCAAAAGTTTAGTAGAAATTACATATTCAAAATGAGCAGATATACTTTCTTCTTACTTTGAATATATATATATATATAAAATACTACATTTAAATTCCAACTTATGTCCAATATGAAATTATTTTCATGTTTTTCCTTTATAGAATTATCACTGTATTAAACTAATGTGTTGCTTTAAATGTAAAATTTAAACTGATACTAGGCATAAGATACTAGGCATCCTAGGTAATTGAGATTTTTTTTTTTGGAACTCCTGTAGAATATTCAACTTGGGATATGTCCAAATTGAAAAAGGAAGAAGAGAATAAGATGTTTTAGAAATATAAATTGAAACACACAGCTGCAATTTTTGCAAACTGATTAGAATCTTTGTGCTTAGCCTGGGATTAATGCATTTCGTCCTCTCTTGAAAAAAATAAAACTTTTTAGTGCTATTATTATTGGGATGGTGTTGGCTTCACTTATTTTTTAAAATTACAACTGACAGTTGAAATCAAAATAAATTGCATATTTCACAGTTGCTGAAAATTACTGACAAAATAAAGTAGTGCCATCCTTAATCTTCTAATGATGGGAGAGCTATTAAAATTATGAGAGCATTTCTCAACAGTAATAGCACTTTGTACTGAATGAGAACTATTGAAGCTAACATAATACTAAAAGAAGTTTTTGTTTTGTTTCGTTTTAATTTAACCATTACATGAATGACATATAATGGAGAATTTTGTTCTAAATTATTCAAACCATTGTAATGAGATCAGCAAGAAAAGTTGATCGAAATGTTTTTCAGGGTTCAAAGAGCTACTGAGTCATTGAGAATTGAGAATTAGGATTTTTTAAACAGGACTCTAGAAAGTGATTGACTCTAGGATTTGAAGACTGACAACATCCTGAGAAGAAGACTAAATCTTTTGAGGGTGCCTGAGAATGAAGGGACAAAAATTGTTGGTTGGCATCTTTTAAGGACAGAAATGGCCTTATAAAATCTCTAGGATTTGGGTTAAGAGCCATGATGAAACAAAAATAGATCTGTCTTTACAGGTACTAAAGCTCAGCCTAAAATCATTTCAGTCAATTGGATTGATGTGATGTGGGTCAAATAATGCCCTTAGTCCATCTACAGGATGATAAATCAGTTTGAATAGAGGGTAACATGATCCTTGGCCTCAAGTTATCTTTACAGGTGGTTCATATATATTTTCCTGCACTAGGTCAGAAATATAAAAGTATAATAAGAGTAAAGATATTTTAATCAAATCCAAAGAAACAACAGACATTCAAAAGAGATAAACTGAAGGTCCACAGAGTAGAATTATCAGACACATACATTTAAAAAATGATCTTTTATATATTCAAACAAATAAAAAAACAAGGTTGAGTATTTCAGCAGATATTTGCAAACTCTGAGAAGAAAAATATGGAAATGTAATAGGAGTCCCAGGAGGAGAATGCAAAGAGAATAGTGGAAAACCAAATATTAAAGAGATTATGATAATTTTTCAAATTAAATATTTATACCAAACAGTAGACTCAGATAACCCTATAAACCCAAAACAAGATAAATAAGAACATAACTGTAACTGCGTGCATCATCGTCAAACAGTGATAATCAAACAAAAGACAAATTTAATATGAGCCAGAGAAAAGACACATCGTTTCAAAAGAGCATAGTGGACTTTTCAACAGAAGCATGGGAGTGAAAAATCAAAATTACAAAATTTTGTAAAGTGAAGACAAATATAACTGCCAATATGGAATTATTTTTTCCACAAAAAAATTTTCCCAAAATAGTTCAATAAATACATTTTCTTATGAACTGAGTTGAGAAAATTCACCAATGGCAGAACTAGAATAAATCACTAAAGATGTTCTTTAGGAAGAATGATAATGATCACAGATACAAGCTCAGCATTAGAAGAAATAACTAAATTAGAGTGAAAATGATAAATCTAAATAAATACTGGCCATATAAAATTATAGTAGTGGATTTTTACTTAACAGTACCTAGAAAATTAAAATATACCACAATAGAAGATTAGTCAGGAAGAGATTAAATATCATAAAGTCATTCAATTACCTATGAAGTATTTTCACATCAGTAAACATAAATAATTTCTATTTGTGTTCAACATTTTAAAGATGCACATTATAAGCTCTTGGGTAACCAGTAGAGTTGGCAAAAAAGAAGATATAGCCAAAATAACCAAGAGGCTAATAGAAAATGAAATATGACAATTAATCCCAGATGGGGAAAGACTATAAAACAGAACAAAAGAACTGTAGAACACAGGAAACAAAGATACTAATCTGGATGATAAAATTAAATATTTCTTTACAATAAAAATAGACTATGATTAAAATGTAAAACATAAAAAACTATTAAATTGTTAGAAGAAAACATAGGAGAAAACTCCCAGATCTATGGCAAGGCAAAGGATTCTTACATATGACAGCAAAGACAAAATCCTTAAAACACTGGCAACTTAAACTGCATTAAAATTGAAAACTTTTTGCACACACACACACAAAAAAAAGAAAGAAGGAAAGAAAGAAAGAAAGAAAAAGAAAAGAGAAAGAAAGAAAGAAAGAAAGAAAGAAAGAAAGAAAGAAAGAAAGAAAGAAAGAAAGAAAAAGAAAGAAAGAAAGAAAGAAAGAAAAAGAAAGAAAGAAAGAAAGAAAGAAAAAAAGAAAGCCACAAATCTCATTAAGAGAATGAAAAGACAAGCTAAAACTAGAGGAAATATTTGCAAACCACTTATCAGACAAAAGGCTTTATCTGGAATATAAAAGGTACTCTTAAAACTCAACAGTGTGTATCAGATAAATAAAAACTTATGTTTATACAAATACCTACACACAGATTGATAACAGCTTTATTTATTGTGAAATACTAAAAGCAAACCAAATACCTGTCAGGGGGTGAATGGATAAACAAACTGCTACGTTCATA